CCTTTCGATGTGTTTGCAATCTCATCAAGAGTTTTACAGTTCATTATATTACATTCATCTCGTCTCTTCATGAGTACTTATTCATAAGCATCTAGTGTCATGAAAGTCTATAGACTAAAAGATGATGTAAAAGTTCCTGGAAAAAAGTCACTTAACATTTTTCATCGGCTAAAACCTGTTTTGAAAAACTCATGAATGCCCTCTTAAAATTTACGCTGAAAATTCTTTTTAACTGTATTGTTCAAAAACGCTGTATTATTTTGCCTTTAAGTAATGAACACATCTTTAAGTAACACTAAAATGTAGTGCGTACAAAATAAATCACCCATTGTTATGATAGAAAGAACCAATATTTAAGTATTTTTCGAATCTCTTCTTTGTGTTCCATCATATACTGTTGCTGTTTTCTTCATTAGGTTTTGTCGTCTAATTTTGTACGAACCTGATAGAAAAAAAGTGATATCACTTAAAGATCGGTTCCTTCAACCACAGCAATTGTGAGATACTTTTTTGGATTCTATATTTTAGTGTTACTTAAATGATGTGCTCATTAGTGAAAGGTAAAGCATAATAGAACTTTTTTGAACATACAGTTACAATGGGCTTTCAAAATAGATTCTGTCTGAGTATTTTTAATTTTTCCGAAACATGTTTTAGGTGATAAAAAAATAAAGTAAATGTTAACAATTCATAATTGATATTTGTGCCTGCGAGATAGAAAACAATGAAAAAAAAAGAGATGGCTTCGAATGATTATCGAGTCTTTTAAGATATATTAATTGATAGATTGGTGAAGACAGGAACCGAATTCATCAATCCAAGCGGACGACTTCTTGATTAGAAAAAAAGAATTTTGGAGTAAAAGGCAACTACAAAAGTTTCTATTAAATATTTAACTAAAGAAAAATTGTTACATTGATTACCGACGTTTAGTTTCATGATCAAATTACGCATACAATGAAATGGAAGCAAAATCTTAATTCAACGAAAGTCTATATATTTAATACAAAAAAAAAGAAGTAAGACACATGTCAAATCTTACTTGTTAACAAAGAACTGTAATGTTATAAAGACTAACAAATTCGAAACATTGTTTTTTTTCTATATTGTCCCGAATCTCTTTTGTTCCATCACGAAAATTTTTCGTGACGATCCCGATTATCTTGCAGGACGAGATGAATGGGTTTCTTCGAGATTCAGTGACTGTCACACAAGAATCTTTTCTTGCCAAAATTATCTCCTTCTATAATTAAAAGAATTTTTTTATTAAATTTCACGTTTGTAAAAGCGAACTATTATTATTATATTCAGTTTTTGCTCACAGCTAATAAAAATTTGGTGTAAAATTCTTGTTTGGATTAATTTCACATAACAATTCCTTTTTTTCGCATCATATTTTTCATTTGTACTCATAATCAAAATAATCGAATTCAACATGTGAATACAGAACTCAAGAAAAAAAATCTCAAAGAAAAGAAAATTGAGTCATAATCAGTGTTCATGATCAGCACACTGCCATTATTAGAAACGTAATCATTATGGATCTCTTTTCGGTATACAATGATTATTTGTTTACCTATATTCAATGTTCATTGAATCTATTCACTATCTTCTACTAATAATAACTAATGAAATAGCATTGCAATCATATGATTTGGAAAGTATGCTGCAAAAATTTGATTATCTGAATTAATCACTTGATAATATTACTTTTTAATAATTTTTCATTTATATTAATAAATTTTCTTTGATGCTTTTTCCACCATTTATTCATGATTTTTACAAATAAATTGGCTTGTTTTTTTGATAAATAATAATGTTTTAAAAGGATTTGATCAAATTGAGAAATATTTCTTAGAAAAACTAATACAAGATCATGAACATAGAAAAGACCATCATTATACATTGATTGAAGAGATCGTTTTGATAAATGGAGTTCTTTAAGTAATTTATCTTGATTAGAAAAAGCAAATTTTAACATAGAAATATGAATATCAGATAGTTTTCGTTTTGAACATGTACAAAGTTTAACATTTGTTTCTATTATATTTTCATCTGAAAGTTTTTTATTAGATTTCGATAATACATCATAATTATCTATTTTAGTTATTTCGTTTAGCTTGGCCGATGAACTAGAAATGTTAATATTATAATTAATGAATGTATTATAATTATCTAATATTTGCTCTTGACATATATCATAATGTTTTGCTTGAGTTGGTATTATTAATTGATGAGCTGTACTTAATGATGATACTATATCATTATTCTCACAAGAATAAAGTGAAGAATTTACAAAACTTCTATGATTTATTGTTGAATATGAAAAAGGTTGATGACTGGCTGTTGATCTATAAATAATCCAAATCACAAGAGAATTCTTGTATGTTAAATGATTACAGAAGAGATTGAGATTCATATAATTTTTTATAGGTTTGGACAATCGTTAATATTACTTTTTTTATTATAATGAAAATGATAAAATATATTTGATGATAAGGTTTCGAAAAGAAATTTGACTTGCTACTTAAAAGTAAATTTATCATGTGTCAATGTCGATGCTTTCGAGTAGTGTCCTGCAACTGCATCGGGTAAGCGGCACCCGACCCGGCTGTTAACGAGATCTCAACGTTTCAAAGTATTTTTACTTTTTCAAACTACTATTTATATAAAAGCATAGGATTGAATATCTTAGATGTTTATTCTACTTGCGAGCAGATTACAGAAGTAAAAAGCGACATACTTCTACCGAAAGAATTCTTTTTTAATGAAAATTTATCTACAGTTGATGATGATCTATATCACAAAGTAATTGAATAGATGGTAAGTAAAATGAGTTAGCAAAAAGGTGAACATGTATTATTATGATGGAAAACACATTCATGTATGTATCCACAATGATGGCGTTTGTCATCATCACTGTGTCCCATTCAAGGCTCATTAGTAATTAGCCTCGATCGGATTCGGTGGTGGAAATTCGTACATGTGTAGAACATTATTTTCGAGATTTTATGAAATTTATTATCATTTCATATAAGAAAAAATCAAATAAAACTATCAAAGAAAGTCTAAAAGAATATTATATACCTTTAAAGTAAAACTAAAGAATATCAACGATAGAAATTGATACTTATGATAATGCAAATGATTGGGACACGAAGGTCTAAATTTAACTTATCATCAAATATATTAAAATATTTAATAATCAAAACTTTGAAAAACTATCATTTATTTATCAGAGAATTTAAAAAATTTCTAACTTAGAAGCGATCGATGTTGTTGATAATGAGATATAACTTTTCGATCGGTGAAAATTAATACTTGATTGATCCTCATTGGCTGTTAATAATGTTATTAATGAATGTTTACATTCTGGAAACATTTCCGTATCCATCGTTTGTGTTGCACATTCACATTGAAGAGAAGGAAGATCATTTGTTGATACACTACAATCAACTTTTGATCGACCTTTAATTAAACAACAAACAACTGTTGTAGAATCCGTTAAAACTGGTTGATATTTGATTGATGATTTTTCTCTTGTGACAGCATTCTTTATTGATGTTTCAGTTGATTCCAATTCATTTGATATAATTGATTCAGTCTTATCTGTTTCTTGTTTAAGAGTAAAACGAACACGTTTTTCTTTTGGTTCACTTCTTGAAAAATTTTCTTCATTATTTATTTGATATAATTCATCAACAATCGTACGAATCATATTTTGAATGCGAGAATTACATGATGAATTTGACGATTCATCTTCATAGTTATTAAAAAGTTTAGATTGTTCAATAATATTTGATCTAGAAGATTGTGTCAAATTCCATGATCCATTATTATTATGCAATAAATATTTTTTCATCATATTGCATATAGATATTATAGAAAAGAGATTTGAAAAACAACAAAAATATTTTCACAGTTATTATTTATCTATTACCACTTGTCTATATTTAGAATGGGCGCGTATTTCAAATGCAAAAGTCAAGAATAATAGATTATACTTCATCATAGAATGCATCTTTTTTTTATACGATGTATACATATGGACCATGATACTGTTTTTTTGTTCTGATAGATAATTTTTGCTTTAGAAAAAAAACAAAGAAAAAATGAAACTAAATATGAAAATGATGGAACAAGTTTGTATCTTGTTGTTAAATGTTTTCTTTTCGAGATATCTTAACATGAAGATATAGACTCGAGATAATTAATGACAGAATTATGAAAAACATTTCAAAAATAAACTAAAACAAATTATCGGAAATATTTTTATATTAAATATAGATAATGTTTATATTGGGATTTTCGTGATAAAAAAATAACAGCTCTCTCCCATGTATTTATACAATATATTAACATTTAGAAGCTATACTAGAGATAAAAAAGCTTTGGTCATTTGTTGTCTACAAGCTTTATGTATAAACAAATGGCACTACGTTTTTTAAATACGTAATAGTACTGTTATGAATTACTTAAAACAAAATATATTTTTATCATAGACACCATAATTCAGCCTGAGCCATGTTTAGAACAGAATTTATCGAACAACATGCATCATGAATGATCATACAATGTACTATCGATGGTGTATTGTCCTCGTTATATGTAAAAATTGAACCACTCGATAGCATCGGTTGCTCCTCTTTGCCCTTCTTTGCATTCCGAAAGAGACACGTAACACATATCATTGTGTTAGTGTAGGCATCTTCACATCAAGTATTTCTTCTTCTTTTCTCTTATTGTATCTCACGACGGGCGCATTCATTCTCGCTCATTTCTTTCTATCCCACTCGTTATATATTCTTGCGTTCTTTCACTCGTATTTCTTTTTCGCTGTCCATTTGATACAAATCAAGCTACATTTTGTAAATAAACCGTTCTAAAACGTCAATCGAAATTTTAACAATTTCAACTTATTTGTCTTTACCTGAGTTACATAAAATCTTTAATTCGTTGGATTATACAACATATATATATATATATTAAAGATGTTTTTTATGAAATATTTATTATTTCTACTATGTGCATCGTTAATTAAAGCCAATGTCCTAGAACGAATCGTAACAACAACAATAGCAACAACAACAACGGTACCCAATTTCAATACAAGCTCTTCTTTCGAACAAGTAAGAAACAAGAATAAATAATAAAGCACAAAAACAGGTAGTTATATTCTTTATTAGATTCTTGATCCAAATTCTTCATTAATCATAATACCACAAAGTAATTCATCATCAATATTACCTGAAAATGAAGCTGATAATGCCATTCAACAAGAAGTATTCTTTGATAATAATTATTCCGAACAACTAGGTGAGGAATCTGATAATACAACAGAAGAATTTCATTTTGGACCACAATATGATGCAAATTGGACATTTATTGATAAAGAAACTGTTCGTGTAATATTTTCTCTATTTTCAATATCAAAATTATCAAATGAAAAAAAAAATTCTGATCAACATGATAATAATAAAATAAATCTGTTTCCAACTATGCTTTCTATAGGATCACGTTCAATTCCATCAATTTATTCATTAAAATATTTTCTCTTTACTATACGACAATATAAAACAAATACAGAAAAAGTACTTCAGATAGAACATTTAATTTTAAAAACTACACCATCAAGAACTGATCAATATTTTTCAAATTCATTATTATTACTTCGATTAAATCCAAAAGAAAAATATTCTATATGTATTTATTATTATCAAATGAATATATCAACACAAATGCCAGATATATTTATATGTCAAGATATAATGCATGATCATTTAAAACATTCAGTATATGGTCTTCTATTTGTTTTAACACAATATTCAATTATTATTGGATTACTCATTGTTTTACAAGGTTTTTTTACTGCACGAAAACGTCGTTTAGCTCATATTGTTCATCAACATTTAATTAATAAAGCACAAAGATTTCGTTCAACACTTTCATCAGTTAGTCTTGTACGACAATCAGTTAATTTAATGGATACAACAACTGAACAAAAAAATACTAAAATGAATGGTCATATCAATCAAGAAAAGAATAAACTTAAAAAACGTATTATATCATCGCCAGCTATTGTTCTTAGTGAACCATCAATACCATCAATGCCATCAATTAAGACTAATAATATTGTGGATGAAAATGAACCATTTCTTAAATTAATACCGGGAAAGAATCATGTACATTTTTTACTTGGTTTAGATGAAGAATCTGAGACTGATGATGATGGTAATGCAAATGAAAATATTCCAAATGATACAACACTCAATCCACCAATAGCATCAATACATACGGAACCCTATGGTGATCGATCAGATGCTTTGTCATCAATGGCTCATATACTTGACACAAATAAACCGTGGTCTAAACAATCATGATACCATTCCATAGAGATGACTATTTCAAGTCTCTCTACTTTTTTTTATTTTGTATCTTCTATTAACAGAATTATTGTCCTTTCATTATGTTTTATATAGACAACAAAATATGATCGAACCACACACATACACATACATATACATGAAGTAGAGAAAAATCACAAAACCAAAAGAAAAAAAAAACAGACGCGAAACGCATTACGATTTAGTCAAAATCCCTTATGTATGTGTCCAAAAAAAAAAAAGAAGAATATTTTTTTTTCATGTTTGCATCTCATATACGATTTATACATTGATATGCACAATGAGACAAAGAAAGAAACAGAAATAATGAGAGCATTCGATGTTTTTTATAAATAGAAAGAGAGAGAGAAGAATAACGAAAAAAAAATTTTGTCAATCGACAGAAACACATTTTAGAAAAAGAAAAAAGAGAAAAGAAAGTTGACATTTGTTGAACTATATCAAGAAGAAATAATGTGTCTAAAAAAGAACGTAAAGTGACAATTAATTACACACGACTAGTTTATTCGAATCGGTTTTTCTGAGAAAAGTGATTTTCGAGTCTTGCGTGGATTTGATATTGATGGTAATTCTAAACCAAGCCAACATATAGCTAAAATTTACATGATAATTTACATAGAAAAAAAGAAAGAAAGATTAAATCGACTTTTACTTTGTACTAATTTTAGTTCATTTACATTTATCTTTCCCATATTATCATCACATCGAGATATTACTTTACTACCATTAAATATTGAAAACCGATACTAAAAAAAAACAAAAGCTGTTAGTGCAATCTCGACGAGATTAAAATGTGAAACACGACTGGTCTACATATATCGTAAATTAAGAAATTCTTCAACATATGCTTCACTTTTGGATTTTCCATGTATCAATATGTTATTCTTAATATGTTACAGTGAATTTAGAAAGGCGGCTAAAGACAGGTATCGTAACATAATAATCCTACAGAAGACTTCAGCTCAGTTTCTAAGTCTATCACATACTGTGATGGACAAAGGTATTACTAAGTTGTGTGTCTCTTCTGTGATGGCCTTTGGCTGATATCTTTTGTGATTTATGATCGTATAAAAGACCTGTTTGTCACGGTCTGTTGGGAAGATGGGCCTATATTTCCGTTTCATGTAATAAGTTTGAGAAAAAAAATGAGAGGATATGGATTTGGATTGTCTCTTCACACATATGAACATCCTAAAGAGTGCACCGACGAAAAATTCTCGTTTAATAGGAGTGTTTACATGAAACTAGCTCGAAGTGATAATAGAACGAGAGGGCATCCTTCGAAATTTGATTTTTGGCATTTTCACTCCAGTATAATCTAGCTAGAATAGACTATATTTCAATATTTCTCCTAATATCTATGCCAGAACTAAAAATGGGTGGATGTAATCTCAATCAGTCGACAACAATAACAGCTAGCTTATCTATCTGCGATTTTTAATAATGGAAAGAAGAAACCTTCGAGCGCCTTTTTTGTTTGATACTGCACAAGATCAAATAATTTTGAAATCCGCTATTTTCGCAAAAAACGCATGAAAACTATGTTTCGTTTCAAGGGAATTTCGATAAAAACTCAGAAAATTTGTTAAAAATCAACCAAATAGATATGCGATTTGTTTTTTTATATCACAATCAAAATTACATCGAAACAGAACAGTGTTTTCATTCAGTTTTTGTTTTTGAATATTTTGCAAATCAAATGAGTTTTAAAATAATTATGTCTTATATAGTATCAAACAAAAAGACATCTAGATTTCTCCTCTTTCAATTGCTGAAAATCACAGATAGTTAGTTGTTGTCGTTATTGCTTTATTGAGATTACACCGATTTCTCTTTAATTCTGAGACGAATATTAAATCGTATTTCACAAAAAGAACAAACTTTTTCAAATTCTCTATTAACAAGACCCATTTTTGTTTGTAATCGTTGCTTAACATCACCAAATGATTCATTCTACAAAATAAATTTTATTATCATTTCATTTTTAAATTAAATAGAAAATATATCTATCTTACATGTATCACTTTGAGTAGAAATGGAAAAAATTTTTGAATATTTATTTGAATCATATTTTCCTAAATAAATTTTCAGTTATTTATTTTATATGAATAAGATTTTCAAAAAAAATTCCAACTACTTTAGTATAATGTGCAACAGGTATCAATTCACTATCTTTTTCAAGATCAATTTCATCATTAGATATTTCTTCTAAATGATAATACCGATTTGAACAATTTTCAAGTTCATCCATACATGATCGATTCGACCATATATTAAGATGAAATGGAAGAGAATTTATTTGACTTGATAATGTTACTTCAATTAATCTAAAGAAAAATAAATAAATATTTTTTTATTTTATTTTTGTTTTGTGATTTGAGTTCTGACGTTCGGAATATTATAATTCTTCCATTTAATTGTTTTTTCTTATCCTTTTGAGCATGCCGTCATTGAATCAGACTATTTGAGATTACTAGCATATTTCATTAAGTGTCATTAACGAGAAAACGTTCCTAAGTATGACTTGTCAATTGAACTAATATTTTAACCATAAGCAGATCCCGACAAGACACTCGAAGTCTATAAGAATTCGCCCCCAAGCTATTACACTTTTATTGAGCCTCTTATCTCTGGTGAAGTCTTTGTGAGAAAATCATAGTAAGGGATATTCACCTGAAAACTTGTTCATAGGCAGGTGTCGTGGATCTTAAAATGTGCTGAAAACTTCAGCGTCAAAGCATGTGTTCTTCTCGACATATTAAATATTCAAAATAATCATGTTTAACAAAGAAAGCCCAGGGTTTTCAAGATTAAATATCTCAAGAACAATATATCCTTTTGGACTGAAATTTTCATGGCATTCTAAGATTCATGAGATCTACCTATCAACAAAATTTCAGGTTGAAATTTCGTAATTCGAATTTTTCACAAATCTTTTATCAGAGATAAGAAGTTCAGGAGAGCTATTATAAGTTAGGACGAACCATTATAGGCTTCTAGTAATCTTGCCGGAGCTTACTTCTGGACAAAATATCAGTTTGATTGACAAGCCAAGTTTGAGTACTTTCTCTTGTAAGACATTTCTAAAGAATCAAACTTTATTGTACTAGGACGTATATTAAACACTATTAATAGTCCTGAAGAGAATTCAAGTAGTTGTTCGCGGTGGATTAAATGTAATAGTTTCATTCATAATGAATAAACTTTATAATATTGCAAGAAACTCTTTTTTTCACATATTTATTCTTTAAATGAATTATTTTAATAAGTACTTAAAAATGAGAGTCATTCACAGTCATATCTCTTAATTTCTCTATTAGTCAAAAACTAAAACAATATCTTTTATTTTAATCAATAATTTACCTTAATTGTTGACTACCATTCTCTGAACAAACACTAGGAATCCATTGTTTAACTTCATCAAGAAATTCAGCCACAGTCGAAGATTTTTTGACATACAATTGTACTTCACGTTGTTCATCTTTTTTTGCTGGATTAGTAAAAAATATACGAATTGGACGACGATGTTCAAGTTCAGTGTAATTAAAGGGTAACTAGAATACAAAAACAAAATAATAATATTAAGAACAAGAAAATAATAATATTCTATTTTCTTTTTACTCGTCTAAAATAGAGTTTTCGTGGAGATGTGACAGAGCCACGTGTATTTGAATAAAGATCTCTTAATGTTTGATCACTTGATATATGTAATGAATTTGTAGAAGATATATTATTCGATATGGATGTTGAACTATAAGAATAGAAAATATATTCAAATAAAGAAAAACGAATTATTTTAATATTGTTTACACAAACAATCATGGATTGTGTTGATATTTAGATACATCTGCGATTGCCTATGATTAAACAAGGGTTCGTATCTCATCATTTGATTTAATTAAGGTGTTAGAAGATTTTTATTCTAACGAGATAAATTATAACTTTACGAGAATACATGTAAAGATTGTCTCTCACTTGTTTAATGTTCAATATTGAAGCAAGGTATTCGACAGAACACTACATCATATTAGATTGAATTATTAATGAAATTGTTCAATAGCAAGTGAATAAAATAATATCATGGGAAAAATAATTCATGATAATTATTGATATAAAAGCGACTATCAGTTTTTCGATGATTTTTTGACAACATATATCTCGTTTCGTAATCAAAACCTTATAATTACCTTTTATTCAGTTTACATTTATTGAAAGGAAGAAATAGAAAAATGAGAAGTATTTTCTATTTCTTAGTATATAAATTTTCGCATCAGAATTAAAATAATGAACATTTTCAAGATTCTTATGAGATAATACTTCGTGTAATAAAAATAAATCTTGCAACTCAATATTGATTTCGATATAAAGCTTTTATTAAAAAATATAGCTTTAAAGAACTACTTCTAGAACATAAAATTCCGAATTCCTTTACTAACGAAGGAACCTTCTCAACTCAAAGTTTTGTTTTAGTTCGGAGTCCGTGCATAAGGTAGACTCCAATGATTTATTAAAAATCGTAAAAGGATAAGGGCTCGTACACCTTCGCTACAAACTTATACTCGTTTTACTGGATTTTCGCCCATACATAAGTCTACTAGTGACTAGAATATCCTCAAAACTTCATCTAAAAAAAATGCTTACTTCAAAAGACATTGAATTCCCCATAATCATTCTTATTTTGTGGAAGATCCAAGAATCTCGTAAAGGAAATATTCATTTGAGTCAAAAATTTTCAGAACATTCTAGTTACGAGGAGGCCACTTTATGGGTCAAATTTCAGTAAGAAGGCTATACATTTTTAGAAGAGGTTCATGGATTAGAATTCATCGGGTTCAATCCGATAGCTTCTACCAGGGGCTCTTATCCTTTCTGAGGTTTTAATACCTCATATAGATTCTTCTGATATACAGAGTGTAAACTCAAAAGCGATTTTCAAGTTAGCAAGGTTCGCTCATAAGTAATCCCTTTCTTGAAATACATCTTGATAAATAAAAAAAAACAAAGAACTTACGTTGAAGGTTTTTGTAAAATAATTTGTTGTTGTGAATATTCAATTCGTTCAGCAATTAATCGAATAACTTCTTTAACTGTTGTTTTCATTGGAAGATATAATTTAAATAGACATTCATTTCGTAAACTATCACGATTACAAACATCAAATTCTTGACGATTTTCAATATTTCTATAAAAGTTAAATTATTCAAAAAAAGTTCGTTTTTTTTTTTTTTTTTTCATCTACCGAAAATAATCTTCAACGGTTGTTAATGGATAATCATCATTTGTTTGATTAATATCAATTATTTGAATTATAATTGATACACCAGATAAACATGGATCAAGTACTTGATTTAATGATAAATCATAACTAGAAGCTTTTATTAATTCATATTGATGTGTTTGATTATGTGTTGGTACAGCTTGATGAACAATAAATGTTGTTGAAGATGATACAGAAACTTTTATTTGCAATGCTATATCATTTAAACATTTCTCTACAAAATCAAACAATTTGAAATAAAAACAAATTTTTGTTTTAATAAAAATTGATTTATCTTACGAAATGATTGTTGTTGCGAAAAAAGAAAATGACCATAATACAAAAGAGATTCATATCGAGAATTATAAAAACGAACAAAAATTAAAAGGTCATCTAATAAAAGAAAGAAAAAAATGTTTTATGAAAAAAAAAAAAAAAAAAAACTAATAAAAAATGTATTACCATCTTTATCAAATGCTAATAATTGATAAATACTATTAAGAAATAGTTTTTGTTCAACAAATATTGATAAAGTACGACGATCAGATATATCATATTCAAATAGATCAATTATCTATTTAAAGAAAATAGAATAAATATTTGATGTCTTTATTTTCTTTCAAAGTTTTATTTCAATTACTTTTTTATCATAATCGTCACAATAAATAAGTGCAGATGTAAGAAGAGATTGTGAATGATAATGATGATTAACATGAATTTCATGTGTATGAACAATCCATATTCGAATATCTTCATCAAGATTTACTCCCTATAAAATGAGAAAATTGAGTTGAATTTCTTTTTTCAAACAAAATTGGTCAGATCAAAGATTAAAAAAATAGTTTCTTTTAGAAAATTGTATAAAGATTTACAATGCGTAGACTTAGTTCTAGTATCGTTATAAAATCATGTTTCAGTTGATCGAATCTTAATAAATAATTAGAACTACAACAATAATCAGCTAAGAATAGATAATCCATGCTTTCGAAAACATTGTCCATATGTGATTCTGTGAAATACGAATGTTTATTAGAATTAAAACTTATTGCGGAAAACTACATTCCATCTACTCAGTAATCTTTAAATATGTAGTAGAGAGAACCTTCCCAATTTGAAAATCGCTTTTGAGTTTGAACTCTGCTCATTAATGTACACTTCAATGAAGTATTGAAAGCCCAAAAGGATAAGAACATTCTAGACCTTCGTCACAAAGTTATAGCCATTTTACTGAAACTTTGTCCATAGAGGGGCCTCCTTGTAAATTATAAAGTCCTGAAAATCTCAGCTCAAATGAATGTTCATTTCATGAGATATTGAATTTCAGATTAGAAAGGTTCTCTTGTTAGTGACTCTCAAATCGAAAGAGCCATGGTTAAAATTTTACCGATAGAAAAAAATATGTTTTTCATGTCTCTTATGTTTTCAAAATTGAAACCAAGCTGATCCCCTGTCTGCTCCATAGTACATAAAAACCATATAAAAACAGTGACAAGTAGATTGAAGAAATTCATAGATTGAACATAGCTGTTTTAATGTAAAAAAATATTTTTTGACTTGGTAAAATAAGTACAAAAGAGAGTTTAGCTCATTATTTCTATCAAACAGCTTAATCAGAAGAGATTGTTGTTAATAGATTCTACTGACTTTATTCTTATTTTTCAATAAACAAATATAAATCATACCAATGCGTATGCTAATCGTCTTGCAAATACGCGAAATATTTCCCCATGTTGAGCTTGTATGTATCGTAAACAACGTTTATTTTGTAATAATTCAACAGGACTAAAAGAAATATTTTACAAAAAAAATTCTTTTTCTTTTTATCTAAAAATATCTTTTTCGTTTTACTTTTCACAAATAAGATCAGTTAAACAAATTGTTTGTTGAATATGAAAATCATCTGTTAATATAATTTGTATATCAACAAAACCATCATTATCCATCATATCTTGACGACGTTTTAAAAGATATTTTCTTAAATAATTAAATATAAAATTTTTTCAATACAAAAATCATTTTCTTACTTATCATAATCAAATCTTGCTATTAAATTTTGAGGAATATCTTCCTGATTAATATCACATAAAACATCTTCTATAAAAAAAAAAAAAACAAATAACAAATATTGTTTTTTTCTATAATGAAAAATTTTATATTTACTTTGACAATCTTCACGTATATAAACAAGCATATAAGCTGATGTATTATACATACTACCATCATCATCTTGTGTACCACCAAAATTTCTTTCCATAGCATCACTTGCTGCTACTCGTGCAACAACATCATCATCAAATTTAAACCACTAAATACAAAATAGATTAATATATTTAAGAAGAAAAAAAAAAACAATAGTTTTCATCTTACTTGTCCATCTAATGCTGGATTAATAAATGAAACATAATGACCACTTGAATTATCTCCACTATGTACTAATATTGATAATAATTTATATGAACATGATGAACAATCAGGATTTTCAAGAAATTCATTTAAATCAAGATGATAATCAAATGAATAACTATCATTTATTTTTCGATGTTGAGATAAATTATAATCATATTCAAAACGTAATAAATGAAGACAAAGTACAGGTGGAAATTTTTGAAATTTAACACCTTTTTCTGCTTCCTAGATTTATTTTAATGATAAAAAAAACAAATATTCAAAGAAATTATTTACTTCATTAAAAACAAACCTGTAAACCATGAATACTACCAGCATCATATAAATTTTCACCTGTTAAGATTTCACTTTTACAAAAATCACGAAAACTTTCTGTAACTAATTTACAAAAAGAAAAATAATAATCAATTCATATTTTCGAATAATTATATTGATTACTTACTATTGGCATTATTTCGTACTTGTAATGGAACATCATAAAATGTTTGTTTTACACGAGATTCATGATCAACTTTTGTACATCGAACATATTGCTTAATAAATGAAAAAAGAAAATAAACATTTAAAGTCTATTCAAATCTATTTTACGAATTTCGACATACGATAATCAAAACATTGAATAATTCAAACTAATATTATAACTCCTTGAAACTATTGGTACATAAATCATACTATCTGCTTTTCAGTAGAGAAAGAATCGATTAATCAATGACGGCTGAGAATTTTCGATGTTTTTAAATACAAAAGAGAGATAATGATGATAGAGAACTTTGTGATAGAGAAACTAGACATAGACATCGTAAGTTTCTGAAAAATCAGCGGTGGCGAATCTGTCGATTGACTTACATTGCTAGTTATGACTAGTAAAAGTCATAAAGGTTATAGATTACGCAGTGCTATGACAATGCGTCACATGACATGTTAGTCTTACAGTATTCTGAAAGAGTATTCATAATGGATGAGCGTGTGAATAAGCTATCTGTTATCTCATGGATACTGTAGTGTTTAGAATATTCGTGAAATGAGATGATTTTCAGTTGATAAAGAATTTTATTACCAGTATATCTTAGAAACGTGATCAAATACCTGATGAAAATTGTTTCACATGCTCATGTATCCAAAGCGAATATATGTACTTTTTCAAGGGTCTTTTTTTTTGTAGATTAGCTCTCTAAACATTCAGAAGTATTTTGAAGCCATACATTTAGGTACAGAACAAATACTCGAAAGAGAAAGAGTATCATGAACTCATTACATTTACTAGGGTTTTTTTTTTCTTTCTTTCTGTCATAAGATATTTTTATGTAATTATTGTCAGCCCGAGGCAATAAATCTATGAAAAAATTATTTCTACCCTAAAAGGGTTAATTTCTGCTAATGATTCGCTGGACCTTGAATAACTTAATCAATAATTTCGACAGTCAATAATATATGGACTAGAAAGTTTAACGGGTTTGTTTTTAAATACAAAAATCAAAGATTTATTCGATTAGATTAATATCAATTAAATTAACTTTTAGAAAAATATTGATTCATTCTTCTTACATATCAACAGATAACTTACCACATATTGTCCTTGGAAAAGCGATGGAATAACACCTTCCATAGTTGTACCTTCCATTTTTGACTCCAATTTATCAAGTAACTATAAAAAAGTAGATATTATATAATGATGAAAAACAAATACAGTATATAATTATGAAGTAGATCCAACACTATTCTCTTTTACGTACCACTCGACAAAATTCTTGTATATCATGTTGACAAAATTCATCCGGTTTGTCCCATCCAAAAACACGAAAAACAAAAAAAAGTTTATATATCTTATAATCATAAACAAAAACAACGAGAGTATACCCAAATGAACGTGTTAACTTTTTTGTACTGACTGGTCGATCAGTAAATTGAAGATCATAAAAAAGTTTTTGTAGAGCAAGTGGAATGCTATGTAATTGATCATCACTATCCGTTGGCAAAGCATATACAGCCTAAATATAAACATATTATTCGATATAGAAATATTAAAGAGCATATTTGTCCGCTGGATATGTAATCAAACATTATCTTTGTTTATAGTCTACTATTACAAATATCTAATCAGTAATGAATCAAATAAAGATTAAGGAAAAACTTCTCGAATGTTTTGAAAGCTTAATATTACTATTCAATATATTCTTAGTACGAATGAATGAAAGACAGAGATTCGATAATAAATTGAACTATAGACTCAAGTCATCTGGAAGGATCTGCAGTTCCCTGTAGTCCAATATAGAGAAAACATAACAAAGAAGAAGAAAAAACTATCAGTAGTATCTTTTGATTTATGATGCTCCGTTGTTGTTGGATAAAGTCTCGAATTGAGTACTTAACCGATCGGTTCGATTATTGGGCTTAATAAGGTATTTATATTATATTATATACAAAAATATTTTTATTGAATGATTGAATATTAATCTAAATCGTAAGAAATTTCAACAAACCCGCCGTAGTTTTTTAGTAAAATAAATTGTTTGTAAAAATGAATTCATATAACAAGTTGCACCAATATTTCTCAAACCAACAAAACCAGTTTGTCCTTTTGAATCCCATCTAAAATTAAATATTTTCATATGATTTTGTAGACAGACACAAAAAGAAAAAAATTGTTAACTTACTCAACATTACGTGGAGCATCGGCATGAATTTTTGCTTCAATTCGAATTGTATTATCTGGCCAATGAATAAATTCACTATAGATTTCCTAAAAATTGACAAAATAGACCAAAAACTATAACTATAATGTTCTTGTAAAAACATACTTTCAATGATTTAAATTGATGAAAACCCCAATCAATTGAGCGTGCATTAAACAAATGATTGATTTCTATTATAAGCAAACAAACAGAAAATAAAATAGAAAATAAAATTAAACAAAATACTTTTCACAAAATTTTTATTCGGATCAGTTGCATGTAAAAGAGTTAATTCAGCTTTAGCAAATATCGACCAACCCGGTGAAAGTTTTTCGGGTTCACATTTAAGAAAAAGACTAAATGTTCCACCATCATTATGGCAACTATCATAATTCGGTTTTGAAAATGCTAATAAAGTCCATATAAAAGTACGAATTATTGATTGATCACTTGTTAATTGACCAGATTGTGGTCGTGATGGAGCAATAATATGAAAACGAATTGAACCATCATAACGAAATACTATTAGAAAAAAGAGAAAAATAGTTCATTACGCATTTCTTTTTTGTTTTCATAAGTATTTATTTACTATCATCTTTTCCATTATCAAAACTGACATGAACAATTGAATCATCAGAAAAAGATTCTGGTTCAGCTTCAGTTGCTTCATCATCATCGTCATCATCTTCATCTTCATCACCTTCTTCTTCTTCCTCTTCGGATCTTTCTGATTGAACTGGTGAATGACCTTAATTAATAAAGAAGAAAGAATTTTTTTTTCTATCGTTTATAAAAATAAATGAACGATTTTTACCATTAGTTATACCATTTTCTTGTTCATATTGATCTTCTTGAGTTTCATCATCATTTTCAGATTCTGTTGTATGATGTGATGATGAACGTCGAAGTTTTTTTGATTGTGGAGAATCACTTGGACTTGATGGTTGAATATTATTATTATCTGTTAAAGATGAATTATTATCATCTGTTGTAGCTGAACATTCTTCAGCAAGAAAAGTTCGTTTAATACCACTCATTTTATTGTTAAAATTCGTAGAAAATGGCTCATTTTCTAAAAAATATGGTTGCCTGTTCAAATAGAAAATTACTTTACATACATGCTAAAGGTTTTTTTTATTCAACTGTGTTGATTTATATGACTCATCGGGTAGAAATCATAATAGAGAAAAAGAGAAGAAAAAAAAAGTCAATTGAATTACTATTTGTTTATTGAAATATTTTTCAACACAGATTAACTTTAAAAAAAAAAGAAAATTTTGACATAGTTTTGAATTGATTAATTTTTTTTAGTTTTTTTTTTTGATTGATATATTTTAAGAAAAAAATTTCAAATAGGTAGCGACATCTATGGAAGATTAAGAATAATTATGAAGATTGAGATAAATGAGCCTATGTATCAGAAATAAAATCCAATGAAAGATCTAAAAATACAACCCAACAGTTTCTTAATATTAAATGTCTTTTGGATAATTTCAATGTCTAACTGCTAGCAAGGCAATATCAATAAAGTGCATTAGATCTGCGTTATGTTCGTCTCATAGATAATGATAGAGAAAATACTGATGATGATCATATGTGCCATCAAGTCATTTGGTATCGATTTCATCTTTGAGAATCAATATGTCTCCTTGATCACCCAGAACAGTTCTTCATTCAACATTCCAATTTTATTCTATAGAATGAAACAGCTTGTTAGCGAAGTATTCTATGAACTACCCTCAAAACATCGAATTGTTTTCGAAATTGATGCAGTTAAAACTCATCACGATTGCGTTTCAGATATTAAAGTCCATCTGCAACTGGTACAGCCGGATCAACTGCTTCATTTTTTGAATTAAATACTTTAATTTCTAATCAAATAGCTCTTGCCAGAGTGATTGAGTACTCGGCTTACTGCTATTCTTGTATTTTACTTTTTCAGAATTATTAAATTTCTTATGGTTTGAGTATTTCAATCAACCGTTGGCTTGTTTGATTCGCTTGGAAATATGATATTTCTAATGACTTTTATTGATTTCATAATTAATTAAACCCAATGAAATTGACTTCCAAACAGTCTAAAGTAATATTGGTATTATTTGAAAACTTATCTTTCGTACAGAAAAGTTTGTTTAAAGAATCATTGATCTAGGAAAGTTTAAAAAGAACACATTCTCTTATATATTTTGTATAAGCAATAGTATTCTGATGATTTCGACCATACACGACATACCAAACTTTCACGACATAAAATGGTATATGTTGATTTTTTTCTAACTTGCTGTAATTGCATGACGTTATGATGAAGACTCATCATGACTATCTACATCAGATTCAGTTGATCTGATTGTGAAAGATTGGAAACATGTTGTTCTTTTTTTATTTTTTTATTCGTCAAAAACTTGTATGCTAATCGAATCTTTATTATCATAGAGAATTATCCTTTTGAATTAATTCAGGTCTACATTACTTTCATCGTCTTCAAAAGCATGTTCATTTTGATCTATTTTATCATAATCGTTATTATCTTCTGCAAATATATGATTGTCTAGATAGAACTCATCACTATTGTCGTGTAACGTGTGTCAATTGAGTTCGCACTTATTGTTAGCTTAATTATTATCAAGATTGAACAGGTCTCATTCATGCGATTGCAATAGCCTTTCTCTTCGAAAATCATCAAGAGAACGGAGAAGATTGGATAGACATGCCAGTATTAATTGACTTCCTGGCAAAAGCAACGGAAGTCTTGAATACTGCTGATTCGATCTTGACATGATAATTAAAGTTGAATGAACCAAAAATAAAACGAATAGTTTATTGGCATTTGAAAAACTGATTTTATCAATGTAAGAATATAGAACAAAATCCATAAGTATTTTGTCTATATCTACTGTTTGTTTTTTCATTGAAATCTAGAAAAATAAATTGTAATCGATTTTTCTCGGCTAACACATGAAAGTTTCATAAAAAATACAAAAATTAAGAGTGAACCGATTTATTTTATACATTAACGCCAAGGATTTGTTAAAATTTCTGAAAGCGTATCTGTATAGACCGAATAATGTAAAAATTCAGCAAGTGATCAATATAATATCATGTTGATCAATGAATGTTTCGGTGTTTGTTTTTTAATTTTTGCCAATCTTTGTGGTGATTAAAAAAACTGAACATAAAAATCAATGTAAAGATTGTTTTAAACAATTGATCATAATTGAGTCGCGTTTGTTATTCACTTTGACGAAGTAGATCTACCTCACGTATAACTTCACTTCTTAACTTGGATTGTTCAGTATAATATAGTACTTCAACTACTAGTAAGAAATTAATAATTTCAAAGAAGATGTATATATCTGGTCTTTGGTAATTCTACTTTTTCAAGACAAATTGATAATATGATGAAATTGAGTTATATATTTTCAAGGTATAATCTTTTGTTTCTTTTTTGCAATCTACATATATTTTCGAAGAAAATCGTGAGTATAACTTTCAAGTCGAACTTTAGAGGTTTCCTCCCATCTATTATAGACCTTAGCCGGAGAGAATAACAAGCATCAATTTTTTTTTCTAGAGTTCCTTAGCGATGAAAAAAACACTGAACGTCATTAATAGCAAGACTTAGAACATTCTAGAGAATTGTATAACATTCCAAAGTCTTCCTTGAAGATTGAATTGCTGTATTACGTTTGCCAATATTACAAATAGTGTAGTTTTTTTAATTTCTGTCTAGATAAAAATTTATTTTTAGGATGTCAAAAATAATGGGTAGTAATGTATTGATTTGCCACCATCGTTATACAGTTAACATAAAAGAAGCATGAACTGATGGAGCTATAAGTTTAAGAAACAATCAATATGAATGTTTCTGAGCTTATCGAGATATATAAGTAGTGGGTGACAACTGTGGCAAATATATTAAATGTGTACAACGGACTAACTTGCCAACTAAATCAATGATTAGAATAATAATAATATTAAACTAAAAAAAGACAAAATATGAAAAAGAAAATTGATGAGTGAATAGCAACAAGCGGCAAACAAAAAAGAGAGTACCAATAAAAGATTTTAAAAACTTTTGTCGAAATGCAGCCCCACGTCCACACCCTAGTAATTCATTTGATGATTATGTGCTCCGTGCTACTGAAAGACACAAAAGAAGAAAAACCTATGTAATAGATTTATTCAGCTGTCAAACGTGCTAGATCAAAATGTCTATAAGTATATTCAAATTTTGATTGACCATAATGTCAATGTTCATCGTCTAATATCTCGTCTTTAATCGCTATCTACCTTCACCTCGATGATCTTCATAATGATTGTCGATAATTACTTGTTAGATTTTCTTCTTTTTGTACTTATAATGCTATACCATCAATATTATGTGGCTTATCTTATATAATTCTATTATTATCATCTTCATAATAAAATGTCACAGATGCATAATCGAAATGTATTTTTTTCATTATCTTTTACTATAATACATGATAAAAATTTACCATATTTGTCAAAATAACATGATAAACGACTAGTTGTTAATGGTTAAGCAGTATCACGAAGAAAAATACGTTTTTAAGGGGTATTGTAATTCACATGATGGTAAACAACGTTGACATGATGATTCATTTCTATCAACAGAATATGGTCGTTTATTCATATACATATATATATCAATACTGATAAGATCATTCAATTCAATCAGCTCTTCATCATTAGTTCGTGTTAAACAAAAATTTAGGACAGAACTACAACGTGATGCAAATTACTGTCATTGTTTTGTTGTTGTACATTTAGATAAATTACATATTAATGAGGTGCAAAGCAAAGCATTTATGTAGACCTTCGACACTTTCTCGTCCTATGCATTGGAAGTTGTCATTTGGTATCATGATGATCTTGAGAATAGAAACTAAGAAAGTACTCATTTAAACGCCAGGTGAAAATATCAAGACTGAACTCATACAATTCTTTTCCAACCTTTCCAAGGACGTTTCGTCGAATTACAAGTAGTGCTTCAAAAAGACAAATTTTTGGGGACTAAATTTCTTTTTTCTCAAGCTGCAAGATCATAATTAAAATGATGACAACAACAAAGATTTGACCATCACTCTATTTTCTTATAGCTAAAGCAACTGCAAAGTACAGCTTATGCTAGATAGTCAATCAGAAAGAGAATCAACTGATTAATCAATAGTATTCATCAGAAACATCTTAAAAACTGTTCATCAAATTCACATGGTAATGAATTTCGAAATGGCTACTTTGCAAATTCTTTTAGATTTCGATTATCTGATTCATCAAAATCTAAATTTTACCATTTATAGCGAGAACAAAAAGCCTGATTCTAGTAAAACATTAATATCATTAGGAAAAATGCCATTCATGATAAATCACAAAAATGATTATACGTTTTCTATAAGATATTTATTATTTTTTTTTTCATAATCGACACCCGTAGCTTTGCATCGCGTATCACAGTCGAGTGAAGCTCGGATGTCATCTACTTAATAGTTGTCATAACCACTTTTTTGAGACCTATGATCAAGCACTTAATGACATGATCAGTGAAGCTAATTATCTGCTGAATAAATGATTTAAAATAGACTAAAACATATGCACACACTATTCACATAGCGTAAACAAAGAACAAAGACTGTGTTGCGATTTATTTATGAATTATTTAGTACTTAAATTCTAGCCCAACGAGAAAGACAACTTTCTAGGTTTCATTCATTACGAACTGCATTGCAAAAAAATGAAGAAATGTAATGTTTGATGATTGTGAAACAAAATGATCGAGAAAATCTTATAATAATAGTGGGAAATAAATATATTATAACTAAACAAAGTTTTTCTGTGTTATCAAATTAATATCTGTGTCTTAGTCAGATAGTGTATTTCTTTTTCTGGGTAAAATTTTTCTTCATCAATTTCGAAAAGCTGATCATCATGTTCTTATGTTTATATTGCTGGAATTATATGAGAAGATGTGAATGTGGATCGCCTAGACCTCGTTGAACACAACATTTTCGGACCTGGATCCAGTTAACGGAGCATTTTCAGATCCGCGTCTGGACCTGTTGAACAGACAAATTTCAAAACCGTACTTGATGAACTCTAGGACAGTCTCTCTTCATTAACCTAAACCCACTCATACTCCTACCTACATTTTCAATTTGAACAATAGTTTTCGAAGATGAAAATAAATATTAGTTTCTCCTGGATAGTCTCTGAAAAGTCAAAATCCAAGTTTTTAGCTCCTCAAATTCGCAAATAGAATTTTCTTTAAATTACCCACAATGATAAAACAAACAATTGCATATAAAATATAACATCTTTCAGCTTTCTACGATGTTTTTTGACCGAGCTACATTCTATCTACAGAATACAAAAAAGTAATTTTTCTATTATTTTGCATGGAAACACCATTTTGTGCCTTACATAGGTTTGATGTATCTCGAGTGTGGACCAATTATTGATTTATACGCACACTCACAATCAACGAATAATCTCCGATCATCGTAAACTTAAAAAGATTACGGCTCGATAAGCATCATAACCACTGACCTTGAGGATGCACACGAAACATTTGGTCTAAATTACGGATTTGGTAAGTCGTTCCTCGTCTTCAACATGTTCTCGATCTTCACGAAACTCTTCATATTATGTTTCAACTGCTTTAAGAGACGGAGCCCAACCACCGAAAGCAAAAAATACTTTATCGTAAATCACTCTTGCTTGAATATATGTTTTTACAGTACAGTATTTATTGTAGAAGCGAAAGTTTTCCTTATCTAACAAAATCACAAGTGAACAACTATGATCGAAATTTCTAATATTATCATAGAAAAAGAAGAATGATGAAATATAATAGAATTGTACAGCACTATTTGGACTGTCAGTATAGATATTAGGTATCATCAAAATTATTCAACTACATAGTAAATAATTTTATATCCTTTTTTATACATCTCAAAAACTAGGTGAGCTAGAATCATCTGGTTTTCAGTAGATGACTGCTCATAGTCTCCAATACATTAGTAAAAAACTTTCAGATGAATCCATTGATTTATTTCATTTTTATTCTCGATATAATCAAAGCCTACTGCTTTTGATTCTTCAAGAAATACCCAACTACTTATTTTTGCAAAATGTTGCGTGCCTGTTCTACTAAGTTGAAACTTTCGTTATGATACCAACAAAAGCAGTACCAACAACATGAGATATTCTCTTCTGAACAGATATTTCATGTTGGAAAATTGTTTTTCTTGTCTTCTTTGTATACACCAATCATAGATAGACGTTCTTATACTATCTTATTCAATAATCGAAGAAAATAAAACTTGTTTTAATAGCGTGAATTTGTAAAAAACGTTTTTTCGTAGGGAACTCTTGTGTTTGAAATCAAAACAAATTATATAATCTAAGTTATATACTTGTATTATGCTATGAATAACAAGAGTAAAGAGCTTCCTATAGTTCTAGCAATAGCGTAACTGCAGATCTCACTAAATATATAGCAAATTTTGACGCATGACATCTTTGCAGGTGTGTTACTGGAGCTACAATAAGCGTTTTTGACTCCTACTATTTCTACAGTAACAACGATAAAGATCTTTAGAGATACAATGGGTTTTTATTTCAAATATAAGACTTTCGAACGGAAAAAGATTCCCTACAAATCTACATTGTTAAAACAATTTTTATCTTCTTCAATGTGTAAATAAGACAGAGCAAGACCATTTATCTGCACATTTTCCGATTCTCCGTCCTGGAGATCATCGTAACAGAAAATGATAACTTTTGATGCGTATGTCCCCAGGGAATAAAAAAATGAAAACAATTTCATTTAAATGATTTTTTTCCGAACTTTTCATCAAAAAAATTCGTTACTTTAATTATTTCGCTAAGATCAAACTCATCCCGATACTGTCATGATTTTTGTATCATTTTCATTGTCTTAAATTGATTATTCTGGAAAAATTGAAATTTTTGCATTAATTTCATTTTTTTGCGTGATTTTCATCAGATAATCTTAATTTTTCTGAAAAACTATAATAATAATAGTACTTTCATTGTTTTTGCATCATTTTTATTGCATTAAATTCTCTATTCTAGAAAAATTAAAATCATTCACGAGTTTTAGTTTTTTCGAATTATTTTCAGTTGATGGCTTTGATTGTTCTGGTAAAATCAAAACCATTACATTACTTTCGTTAGTTTTTCATCAATTCCAGTTCATGATTTTGATGACTTCGAAAAAATTAAAATCATTACATTACTTCCAATTACTTTNCGGGAGTTCGGAATGACAAAAATCAATCAAAATTAAAAAAGAACAGGATGTTCGTAATGAAAGTTGTTCAGAAGATCGTAACGAACAACGAATATTGATTTTTAGAGAAAAAAAAAGTGAAATTTGACCGGAGTTTGGCATGAAAATATTGGAAGATCGTAACAATAAAAGCAGGATGTTGGAAACTGTGTTCATGTTTGCTGTTTTTTAAGATATGTTAAATAATTTACTAGTTTTTATTCTAAGATAGTACACAAACGACAGATGAGGACGTGACAGTGAGGGTGAGGATGTGGAGTGTGAGCGTGGGTGAGGATCAGTAAATAGAAGACGTCACCCTCACCTACGTCCTCACACCCTCACTCGTCTAGTCAATAATTTTTGAACGTAGAGACTCTTAATTATATAGTACTTCATTTCCACAGAGATTAGTGATAACAATTATTAACATTATGAATAGGTTAAAGCACAAAAGTCGTAAACATCTTGTACAGTTATTATAGCGTTATAAGTAGAGACAGAGAAAGGTAGATGTTGTTTATATAATTACGAACCTATTGTATCAATCATTCTTGATTCTGTAAAAAAAAAGAAAGAAAAGTCTTTATGACCGTTGCGAATATTAGAATAAATCAGTTACGATCTCCTGGTAAATTGGGTCATGAACATCCCGTCTTTTTCGTTCCGATTCTTAAACGTTACTCCGCATATAGTAATGATCATTCCATTTGGAATTCCCAGCAACGCCTTTCCGATCTCCCTGTGTTTTCGATTACGATCTCCTGTTCAAAAAGGATTACGAACTCCCGTCGAATATTTGTTACGACAAAAAGTCATTTCCGAACACCCGGACACATGTTCGGGGTTCGGAATGACTTGGTGCAAAATGTCCGTCACCCTTTAGATCATCACGACAGAAAGTATGAATTCTATTGCAGTGAAAATTAAATACGTAAAGTATGGAGGCGAATTTCGTATGCGATCGAGTAAAAAATGGCTGCGCTTTGCATTGCATAAATTTTTTGTAAATAAATTATTTTAACCCCTCTGACAATATGCCATACATTCACAACAGTCAGAGGTTGTGAACTCGATACATTGGCGCCTTATGGGGTCGCACTGGCTTATAAAGTAATAATCAATTTACTTTTATTATAAAATAGCTCAATTCTGAAATAGAATATTAATATTAGAACATCACTTAGAAGCACAAATTTTCATCTTCGACAGATGTCATTAAATATCTGAACAAGCTATTATTGAACATTAAACGCCTATGAACGGCTGGTTTGTTCTATTAACCAATAAAAATGGCATTATTTTTTAGAGAGAAAGAAACAAAAAATCTCAATAACCAGCGTTCTGAGTTTTAAGAGTAACAAAAGATACAAAAAGTTTTATTCAACTCTGTTGGTTGTTAATAATTTTCAAATCTTGAAAAACAGAACAGAAAAAAAAAGAAAAAAGAAAAGCAAAACTTTTCTTAATGCGTCACATTTTCATCATCGCCCGTCCCCGTATGTCTCTGACAAACATACATCATATGAAACAAAATAAAATAAATAAATAAATAAAAATATTTTTTTTGTTTTTTTATATTTATGATATCGGTAAAACCGAAATAAAATAGTAGATATATTATGTCCACAACTACCTATCCAAATAATCATGTTTCGGCATCATTTCCACGACGAAGTATTTGCCCATCAACGATAGATGCAATAACAAATGATCGTCCTCATGTTCCATTAAAAGCCAAACATTACCTGAATCCAATACCACCTATAGATGAATCATTATCAAAAAATTCAACTAGTACAAAACCTCCATTAATATCAGAAACTTCAACAATATCACATTACCGTTCTAATAAAACTGAAAATACATCAATACAATCTTCAAAACAAATCTATACATTTAGTAGTCGACCACGTGAACTGAGTGGAAATGGAAAATCTTCAAATAATCGTCGACTACGTCAGCGTATATCATCAGCACCCGATCAAAGTTCTCCACGTGCAAAATTAAAACAGCAAAAACCATCATCAGCTAATGCATCATTAATATCACGTTCAAATTATAATGATAATCATCATTCTATACAGACACAACGTTCAACAAAACATGTTTTAAAACGAGATGAACAACAAAAAGATTCTTTAAATGATCTTATTAAAAAACAAGAAAAATCTAAAGTTCCCAAAGTTGTTCAACAACGAAGAATTGTTTTGTTTTTGCGACATTTATCACAACGAGAAGAACAAAATCCCTCACCGATATCAGAAAATAGTCAAATAGAAACACGAGAAAGTCCAATTATTGAAACAAATAATCAAACTCAAATTTTGCCTACAAATTCTAAAATTCCAAATTCGATGGAAAATTCTCAATCACCAGATAATATGGAAGCCGAAATGGTTGATTCAATGGAATTAGCTGCTATTCTTGCTAATATCCAATTTCAAGATGATTGGCTTCCAAATGCAGTTTCATCAGAAAATCAATCAACAAAATTCGATTTAAGTAAATATGGCTTTGTTGTTGCTAATCCAATAGATACAACAACACTTATATTATCACCACGTACAATAAAACCTGATGAAGAATTAGCAAGACGAATACGTTTTTCACAAGATTATCTAGATGAAATGCGTTCAAGTGCTAATGCTCGAATACCAACTTTATTGGCATCAATTGTTACAGATAATAATACTATAGGAGGAAACGGTACGGATGTTGAACAAACTTTTACAGTGAAATTAAATTCAGTAGCTGCAATGAAAAAGCAAAGTTCTGTTAATAATAAAGAACCATTTGAAGCAACGGCAGATAATGAGTCCATTTCATTACTTTATGATGCAACACTCAAATGTTTCTACGATCCAAACACAGGCAAATATTATGACTTGACATCAGCATAAATATTTCATTACTAATATGTCTTTCTTTTCTTCATCAAATTCTATTCATTCAAGCTTTGTCTTCCGCATACATAATATTTTACGTTATTAGTTTTATTTCTTCAATTGTATTTTTAGTTTCTTCAATGTTTTTTTTCTGCAACAGTGATATTTATTTTTTTTTCTTTGCATATAATATCGTCCATTCTATGTTACTTATTTATTTTTTCGTCTTCTGCTCATTTGTTTTTCTTTTTAATTGATCAATGAGAATTTTTTAAACATGAAAGGTACAAAAAACCAAAAAATAATGATTTATCTATTTGCTTTTCATCGTTCGATTTCGTAGAAGAAAAAAAAATAAAGTGTGTAATCTTCTCGTTCGCTTGTTGTCAATACTTATCGATAGTAACTCCCTTTTATTTGTTTTGATGATTGAACAACAAATCAATAGACACATAAAACGAGAGATAGATGAATTGTTCATTCAGTAAATCGATTTTCTTTTTCTTTTTCCGTTCTAGATCATCGAAAGAACATCGATTTTATATTAATGACGATTCAAGAACCAACATGAATATTTCTGTAGTTATTTTCTTCGAGACATTATCATGAAAAATTCACTTTGTCTTCGGCAATTTATTATATTTTTTCTTCTTGAGGTTTGTTATATTGACGTCCTAAGTATAATTTTTGCTTCCTTTGTTAGTCTCTTGAGAAACAAAAGAATAAAAATAGCCATCATCAAGACTTATTGCATGAACAGACATAACGGAGAATAAGTGCTTATGTGTTAACATGATTACACTTGCTTATACATAAAGATGAAACTAACATTGAATGTTATAGCGAACAAAAAAGAACAGAGAAAAAAAGACGAGAACAAGTATATGTAGTTGTATTCATTATCATATTGATAGAGAATAGTCTAATTTTAAAGCAATAGCAGCTGTTGGAAGCTCAATTTTCAGATGCTTATCATTCTATTGTTGATGTTATATGATGATGAATTGCGCATGAAAGAAAAAATAATAAAGAAAGGAATTGATCGTAGTAAAGTGAGTACAATCGTTCGTTGTTTTTCGCTGTAGGATGACACATCATATACACATATTCTGATCTTTTATTTTGTAACCATCCCTCGTATCATTTATGTTCCATTATTCTCTTTTTCTCTATAAGTACACATATATTTGATGCTCATATCACGAAAATTATTGTCGACACTCGACGATGTCAAGGTCGAAGAAATCGTTTGCATAGTTCACAATTCATTTTTTCTCTTCTCTCATGAATATAGTATTAATGGGATTTTTTTTCATTTTTTTAACACTGCTTTATTGAATAATAAAAAGTTTCATATTGTCTTTTCAATGTTGAGGAAAAAAAGTCAAATATTGACATAACAATCATTATTTTCAGATGTTAACTACTAGCAGCATTGACGACAACGTTTCAAAATTGTACGTAAATGATTTACTTGAAGATATGATCTTGACATTTATCAATGAAAAAAATCTTATATTCATAGATTATAATAATCTATTTTAATCAATGACATCAACATTTAATACAACAAAACCTCATTTATCACCTACTCATCTAGCATTATCATCTCCACCAATATTACCAATAAAACATTGGTCACAAACTTGTCATGAAACAATATTAGTATCAAATGATAATAATCATACAATTCAACTTCCTCTAGAAGGTGGTTCTGATAATGGACAATTTGTTTATTTTAATGACTCTATATCATTATTAAAAAATAAAACAGAAACAAATATATTAAAAGGTGGTAAAATTGATTTTGATGAAATAGTTCTCGAAATCGATCAACATTATATTGCTGGTTATACATTAGCGGATGTTCAATTACTTATTGAAACACTTTCTACTAATGGAAAGCAAATTAAATTAAAAACTGTTAGATCGGGTATGTATGTTTTTTTTATTGTAATGTTCATATGGACGATTTACATAGAGCTAAAAAGGCAAATTAAAGATTATTTCATTAGGTTTGTATAAATTCAAACCACATTAGTCGTTTAAAAGAATAAATTATTCTTTTTTCGATTTTTTCTTCTGTTAATGATAGCAAAAAGAAAAAGAAGTCGATCAATACTCTTTTATCAGTGCCAATTGATCAACTTGCCTATCATATTTATTCATCGTTGAAATTAAAGATTAATAGTTTATAAGTTTTGTTATTCGTTTTATTTATGCATAATTAAGATTCTTTCCTTTGTTAATAAAAGCATCAATGGTTTGTTGCATCGTTGATTGTCAATAGAAATGACATCATAGTTATGTTCTAATCTTCTTATAATTTACCCGTCATGATATCTCAGCGTAAAGATAAAGGTTGTCATTTTTCTTTCTTTCTTTGATGTATTAGATAAAGAGAAAACAGTTGTAAGAAGGACATATTGATGGTGAATATTGACAGTAGAATGGAATTAATGCTATTTTCATAGAATGATCGCATTTGTTTCATTATCCTTCGTTCTCAAATGACTCGATCGGCCGTGAGTGATGAAATCGAGGACAATATATAAATGAAAGAGAGTTACCGAGAATGGTACTCAAGTGCTATGCAATTATAAATTATGCGAAGAAATAAGAAAATAAAAGAGATTCGTTTATTATTATCTTAATAGTATGATCATGCGTATATGAATGATCTATAGGAATAAACAGGAAAACTATTCACATATTCTGATGATTTTTTTTTTTATGAGTACTTCTTTTTTTTCTCTTCTCTTAATTTAAGTCAATGAAGCTCTCTAAGAACAAAAAAGAAATGAATGACTGACTATTACCGTCTGTGCCGATCAATGGCGTATGTTTATGTTTCATTATGACATGCTGTGCTCAGACTAGTCGCAATCGTCATGTTGGCGGGTTGAACTCTGCATTTCTGCGTCTTGTCTTGTCTTATCATCACTGAAAAGAACAATAATCAAACGTCGACGGCTGACCATGTAAACAAGTCGTTGACAGAACAATGGCCTGCTGATGTTAATTTCATGCTATCATATTAGACATACCGTTGTTTCTCTTTTTTTCCCTCATCTCTTCTTCTTCCTTTTTCTATTCAATTTTTGTCGACATTGTCATCGCACCAGTGGATTCGTTGCATCATTTATACTATTACCATTCCTATCCAATACATCCATATATACGTATTGAGTTGAGCTGTGAGTGTTGATGTTATACATTCTCATCAGTAATATATAAATATAATTATTTTTTTTGAGTAATATTTGACAAGTAAAATGTTGTCAAATGTGAACGTTATGATTCATTCATCTTATGATAATCTATCGTTAATGTCTCCAAATGTAGAAAATACAACAACGAATAGTAATATTATATTCGATGAATTGCAAGGTCGAGGCCAAGTTCTTTTTCTTTTGTTTTATCTGTGTTACATATGAATCCATTTATTCTTATTTGTATATATTATGTTTCTAAACAGGCTTAACCAAGGATCTACGTCAATTTCTTGATGGACGTTTTGAAAAGAATTCGATTGATCATGGTCTTCAACAAACCATACGTGATAATCTTTACATGAGAACAGTACCTTGTAAATGATTCTTTTGTAGAAATTATTATAAAATACAATTATTTTTTTTTTCTTCCTTTTTTTCCTCAGGCACCACACGTCCATCACGGCCGGGTGAAATAAATGGACAAGATTATACATTTTTAAGTGTAAAAGATTTTCATGCATTAGAAAAAAGTGGCAAATTACTTGAAAGTGGAGTATATAAAGGTTTGTATTGATTCTTTTGCGATTCTGTTTAATGAAGACAAAAGAAATAATTTTTGTTATTTTTTTTTCTTCTTCTCCTTCTTCGAGTAGGACATTATTACGGAACACCACGTCCAACACAAGGAGCAATTATAACAAATACTAATCTTGTACGACGAAGTAATTCAGCTAACGAAATGTTTCAACATAATGATCCAGAATTCTTTAACAGTCAAAATTTAAATGAAAATATATCTCAACATGTATCTGGTGAATTAATCAAATGTTCATTAAGAAAAAGTCAACAAGGTTTTGGTTTTACAATAATTGATGGTCATGAAAATGGTGAACAATTTCTTCAAGTAAAAGATATTTTACCTGATGGACCAGCAGCTAAAGATGGCAAACTTCAACGAGGTGATATACTGATTTATATTAATGATGCATATGTTATGGGTTATAGTCATACAGATGTTGTTAAAATATTTCAATCATTATCAATAGGTGATGTTATAGATTTCACTGTTTGTCGTGGCTATCCACTTGCAGTTAATATTGATGATCCACAAATTGATATTGTTTCATTGAATGGTATTCATCATTTACCTAATGGTGGTTATAAAGAATATCAACCAGAAAATCATGCAAATATATATGCAATTAAAATTCGAAAAGGTAATAATGGTTTTGGTTTTACTGTTGTTGATAGTCTATCAGGACAACGAGTTAAAACTATTCATGATAAACAACGTTGTCAAAATTTATCTGAAAATGATTTCTTATTATCAATTAATGGACAAGATTTAGCCGGAAAACAACATGCTGATATTGTTGAAATACTTCGTCAATGTCCAAGTGATATCGAAACAACATTTATTGTTCGAAGAGGTACTTTATTTAGCTGAATTTTAAAGATATGTAAAAGAAAAGGAAAATACATTACAAATTTTCCTTTGCCAATAGGTTTTTTACAATATGCATCCATTTGAATTATTTTAACCCTAATAGATTAGATCACAAAAAGTATTATATTGTAATATTATTTAAAATTTAATTGATTTAACTTGAGAAGAAATAAAAGAAAAAACCATTATCTTTTTTTTTTTTTAATAGATAATGTATAATTTATTACAACAAGAATATTCAACATTTTAAAATTCTTCTATGAAAAATCATTTGAGTACTCGTAATTTTCTTCTATGAACTTTAGGTTTCAAAATTGATCAAATATTTTTTTTATCTAATTTAGATTCAGGCTGTTAACTGATATTATTGATAAGTTACTTATCAATATGACTAATATAATGTGAGGTTACCATCTGACCTTAAAAGCTAGTTTTCTTAAAAAAACACAGAATACATAGTTAAAAGTATGATATCTCTTCGAGTTTTCGCTACTATCTAATTTCTTTAAACGTTATCTTACAATTACGATGATTAAATTTTGCCAATAAGTGGTTTTTTTTCCTGAATACTGGAAGGGTATGTTCGATCTTCTTTTATCACTACTCAATTAAATTTATTTATTTTTTACTGGATGACATTCGTAAACATTTTTATTCTTATTATTATAGAATAATGCAACGTTTCGTTGCGATATACAACTTCTTCTAATAAAAGCTACAATAAATTCATAATATATAAAGTAAACTATACATTTTACAATAGAATAAATACAAAACAAAACAGATGGTTGTACTTCTTTTTCTTTTTTTCATAACTTCAATATTGATATGGAAATGATTCATCTCTCCAATCTGTTGCCATCTTGTTCCGTATCACTAATCAATTTAAGAAAAAAGAATGAAAAAATAACCGTCTATTTTGTTTTGTATTTACTCTATTATAAAATGTATAGTTTAGTATGTGCATTGGAAATTTATTACTTTTTTTTGTCTAAGGAATTTGCTTACAGTAACGAACCGTTACAGTATTTTCTGATAATAAAAGTAAAAATATACTAAATAATTAATTACGAAAGAGAATAAAAGTGTTAACGAATACACAAATCTATCTCATAGGAAAAGGACTGGTGGACATCATAGATAAAGAATCTTCATGAAAAATTCATTCTACGGTTCACAACACTAGTTGAACTTACAAATTTGTTTTAAAATAGTGTAATATAAGTATATAATATATAACAGTTGTTTATCAAATAAGAGTGTAGTATATTTAATATATGTCTATCGGTAACAAAAGAAGCCGTACTTTCCTAAGATGATTTGTCTTTGTCCGACTGTCGAAGAATAATTATCAAACATGTAATTGTTACATAGAATATGAAAATATGAGGAAAAATTATTTAATATTATGAAGGTTTTTCGCAAATAGTTTCCTGTTTTTGTCTCTCTCTCTCTCTCTCTCTCTTGAAATTAACAGACAGGTTCTACAATATTCAGATTTATTCAAGCCTTAGATTTACTTTCAATTAAATCTGAAAAGAATGGTCAGATTAAAAATTATAATTTCGTCAAGGTTGAGAGACTGTATATATGGTAAATTCATCATAATTCAATAAGACTCGGAATATTGACATTAACTAAATCAAAGTTTCGATCATAAAATATGATTTTATTTTGTTTTTGTTTTAGAGATTCTTACTTTCGACTGAATTTTTGAATTTATCAAAGTTTTTTGAAAATCCACTTTCTCATACTTATATTCAAACAATCAAGATGTTTAGAACAAATATCAAAAAAACTATTGTTCAGTAATACTTCTGAGAAGAAATTTAAATATCGAGAATAATATTCATTATGTGTGCCACCCGCCAATAGCAAAAGCAAAGGAGAAATGAGAAGAACGATTATTGTTGTTTTTGGTTTGGTAGCAGGTAGCATTTTCTTTTCTCTAAGAAATGGAGAAATATTTATTCATTCTGAAAATAGATCGTGTGTAGAGAAAAGATTAATAACATGTTGAAGTTTCGTGTTAGGAAAGAAGTAACGAGAGGTATACTATTAACTTTCTTTTTTCATTATGTTTTTTGCTTGGCAGTTTTATTTAAAAAATAATTATCTGTTTTTTTGTTTATTTTCAAGGTGATCCAGATGTTAATAATAATCCATTAGCGATAAATGCTAACAATCATTTAGATAGAATTATTCAGGTATGAATTAAAATTTAAAAAAAAAGTTATAGAATGTATGTTTGTAAGAAGAAAATAAAAACACAAAATATATTTATCTATAGCCTAATAATCAATCAACCGTCACCGCAAAGCATGTTTCATTCTTAACAAACAATAAAGAGAATAAGGTGATCAAATTAAAATTAAAAAAATGTCTTGCATGTTTATTTCTTTTCCTTTATCACTCGTATTCCAATGACGTATATATGCATGACTCTTTGTTGTACTGTATTCTAATAGAGATGGACTTTTCTATTTTAATATACACGTCTGAGATTGCTACAAAACAAAGTAGAGATATGATTTAGTTAAGACTTTTAAATGATTTTATAAGCAAATTTTTTTTGTCATAAACTTACTTTTGCTTCATTTGAGGGGAAATCACTCCGATTAGTAGGAATATTTACGTGATATTTGAGCATTTTTCAATATAGAAAGGCGATTGTAATGATTAATGTTAGTTCTACTTTTATGTAATTGAATTTTACAGATGTAAGAAATGAGTATGTCAGCACATTTCTCATGTATTATCAGTTCTATCTTTGATTGATGTGTTTAAAATTTGCAGTAAATCAAATATGTCCTATTAATAGTTGCATGTCTATTGCCTATAGAGAATAGGAACTGTTTCTGAAATAATCAGTTGTTGCTTTGAGAAAGAAAAAAAAAATATTACACATTCTACGACAAATATTTGATCTAAGATGTTAGGAAAAATCTTCGTTTCATTTAACATTATCGTATACATTGTATTATTTCTTTCGTAACTTTATTGACTAGCATCATGTGTCGCTCGAATAGAGTTTCATTAATCTAAGATGTAATCGTAAAATAGCAATAAATCATTTTATCTACGATATAAATAAATTCATTGTTTGAGTTCAAATTCTATTTTAGTTCTTATTTTTAATATTTGCTAGAATGATTATTGACTAGAGTTCAAGAACTACGAGTATTGATGTGCATTTTTTGTTGCATTAAAATTAAAAAAACACAAATAGACTTTTGAAAAAAATATCAATACGCGACTGATGAAGACTTGTTGTGGCTCACATCTTTTAACAGAAGTGAACAGTGTAATAAAATATTTTAAAAAAAACATAGACATACTCATTTTTAAACTAAACAATTAAATATTTAATTTTTAGGAAAATGATGAAATAGATATTCGCTATCCTCCATTAAAAATAAATGGTAAACAATATTTATAATAAAAAAATTTATCCTATTTTAAAATATTTAGAAAAACCTCGCAGTAAAACTCCGACACCATTTGGCTCTGCATCATTGGCCGATACACTTCCACTTCGTTCTCGAACTCCATTACCAACCAAAACAACTACAATAACAACAAATAATAATCTAAATTTTTCAGTTCCAAACACTATTGAAAGATCAGCGCCAATAGCTCAAACAGAATTTTCTTCTGATCCATTTTATACATTTGATCAACCAAAAACTTTATCACATAATATACGTGATACACGACCTACCAATCCATCATTATCACGTAGTAAAACTCCAGGACCTGAATTTGGTGCAACAACATCATCATCCTATCATGCTAGTACAATGAAACCAAGAAGTAAAACACCAACAGCTTATGAATTTTCTTCAAATTCTTTACAAAATAGGTTTGAAAATAATTTTTTTATACTTCCATTTATGTTTTTTTTTTTTTGCTTTTTATTCTAGTCGATCATTGCAATCAGTTCATCCACAATATTTGGAATTAATTGTTAATTTAACAATTTTACGTCCAACGTAATTAATTATATTTTATTTCAATTTACGAAAGCAATGGATCTTATTCTTGTTATTTTTTATAGTGATGGTTTTGGTTTACGAATACTCGGGGGTGAAGAAGAAAAATCTCAAGTATCTATTGGTCATATTGTTCCTAATTCACCAGCAGATGTCGATGGTCGTCTTTGTATTGGTGATGAAATAATTAAAATAGATGGTCATTCAACAATACGTGCATCACATGAAAAAGTTGTTCAACTTATGCAACGAGCAAAAGAAAATAAACATGTTTGTTTAATCATACGTCGTTATCCACATTTGAATAAGAGAAATAATTCTTATCATCAAACAAATCTTGATTCATATCCAGTATATCGTGATAATTCTCATAGAAAAATACCAATAGAGAATGGAATACGTTATGTAACATTACAAAAAACAAATGAAAATGAAAGCTTTGGTTTTGTAATTATTTCATCACAAAATAAAGCTGGTACTATTGTTGGTAAATATGATAGTTTTTTAGCTTTCTTATGTGTTTTTTTTTATTCCATATAAACAGATTTCAATCGAGAGAATCTACAAGAACAAATGGAAAACAATTATATTTACAAAACTTGGATAGGTTAGACATGCATGTATGCATGCTTAAAACCAATTTCTTTACAGAATATGATAAAACTTGGATCGCTCATTATTTAGTATTGTACAGATTGGGAGAGTAATTGAGATGGAGCTTTATGAATAAGATCAGTTGAGTTTAGAAGAAAACTGTCTTAATTATGTATTTTTAGAAGAGACAGATTCTTGATGAGATTCAACAAAATGTTCAAAAGATTTCAATTCTGAAATCAAATAAGAAGTTATGAAGTTCTAGTTTTATACCTTTAGGAATTTCGATCAGATTAGTTTTCTTTCTTAAAGTGTTTGTCTTTTTCGTGGAGTATCATGATTAATTATGAATGAAATTCCATACTCTGATTTTTTTTTCTAAAGATTGGAATTTTATTAAAATCATCATAAGTTAAAACACTATTATCTAGATGGCAATTTATTTTTGAATTTGTTTTCCAATAGAAATAAAATTGTTAATTATAACTAAAACTAAATGCCACGTTTTATCAAATAAAATTTAAAACAAATTTTATTTCATTTTAGGTAAAATAATTCGTAATAGTCCTGCTGATCAATGTGGTCAACTGCATATAAATGATCGTATATTAGCTGTTAATGATGTTGATTTATCTCATATGGCTCATACAGACGTTGTTAATTTAATCAAAGAATCTGGTCGAACTATAACACTTACAATTGGACCACCAATTCATTTTGGTAAATAATTTTATTTTTTGTGAAACACTATCTAAAACGAGTGTTGAAATATAGAGGTGAAAATTTGAACTCTTCCTCTACAGATGTGACAGACAATCATTAAGTGTCCGAGTCTTAACAGTTCACAGTAAAACTTTCGGTGGAAAATATTGAGTTGTTGATGAACCATTATGAAATCAAGAGTAAGAAAAACTAGATCTTTTCATGACAAGATTTTCTTCTCGGAATCTAATAATGGAGATTTCGGGTTGGTTTTAAATTGCAGCCTAAACGGTATACCGACAGTTGAACCTCCATTGATTAATTTCGTAAGAAATAATATCAATATTCGATCACTTTGTTCAACCCAAAAGTAGTGCACACCACACATGGGCACAGGAAAATTTTGTGTCCTATCATGTTGTCTGACTCTGTTCTGGCAAGCGGCAGAGCAGGACATAAATTATAGTATTATCCTGTCCTATGCCAGTCGCTGGTGTACAAAAATATGCGTCATGTTCGCATAGTATTGCTGACTAGCTGATAAATCTTGCATAGCTAAATAAATTATCATTACGAAAACTAATTAATCCGATTTATGGACACATGTGTGAGCGTAGATGAATGTGAACAGAATGTCCACGTTCCAATACGATCACACCCTCGCCCACATTCTCCGTTGGTAACTAAAGGCATCAAGTAGAAGTTGATTGTTGACTTTTGAGAATTCCACAATTGATATCCCAGGGCAAATAATTAGATACTAAGATCTAACAAGATTCTGCTTCTGACCTTGTATGATCTTCTAATATCAGACGAAAATCATACAAAAACTCATAGTCTCAGATATATTATAACAAGTCGTATTATAAGCTTCTTGAAAGATCTTGCTACCTTGTAAGATCTCACTGTAAGATTATAGAAAGTCTTATGTGACGGTAAGATCTTTCAAGGATCTTACTGTTCGATTTACTGTAAGATTTCTGAGACTACGATTTTTTTTACGATCTCATCTGATATTATAAGATCTTATGTCTGATTTTTCGACCTGAGATGGTATGATAATAATAGATCAAGACAGAAAAGTAATGAAGACTAGATGAAAAAAAGAAAAATAATTTGAAAAGTTTACTCATTTTCATAAATATCACTGATTCAGTTTAGGATAACTATAATAGCGAGCCATCAATCTCATAGGAAGATATTGCGTATTCCTGTTTAACAATTTTGAGCTGAATAAAATGATCGAATATTGATATTATTTCTTATGTGATTAATCGATTGGGGCTCAAATGTCGGGAGCTCAACTGTCGCGTCACCAGCCAAGACCTACCATGCGGAAAATACGAAACAAAGCTTGACTTAGGAACTCAAGCTTCTTTCTTAATAAAACATTATAGAAAACAAACTGTGAAAAAACGTAATAAATTCGATAAAATGTATTAGACATTAAGGGCTATCTGCTTACGTCAAAATTGAAGTTTTTGACAGAAAACGTGATTTCTGACATGGGAGTGAGCCTTAAGAGATCCTCTTTTCTGAGAATGGCTCATCAAAAAAATTTGAAATTTTAGACTAGATATATCTCAATGAATGAAGCAAAAGTTGTCTGAGATTCAAAATTTCGGAATGCTTCTTTCTTGAAGATATCGGGATTGCAAAAGGTTAAAAATTGTCCTTCTAATCGCCCCTTTTATGTCAGTTGAAACCTTTTTTTTACACATACTAGACACTGTTTAAAATGCCTACTTCTTTCATTTTCCTTTTATTTATTTCTAATCCTAATAAAATGATCAAAATACGTAGCATACCTCCGAAAACACATGTTCTTTCTGGTAAAATCTACCAGAAATTAGCAGAGCAACCTTTTTCAAAACAAACAAAAAGGTAGACTACCCAAACAGTATCTAATACTCGTAAAAAAAGTTTCAGCTCTATCAGAAATACTATGTCGGAGAAACGAAGACTATTCTACACCTTTTTTTCGTGTAAAAAGTGATTTCGAGAAAAACAAATTTTTCCTATATGTATTAGAGCTTTTTTTCCAACTAAATTAATCGAATATTGGTTGGATTTAGTGGTGTTAGGAGCCTATGACCCATACTCTAAGCACCTTTGAAATGAGAAGTAATGATCATTAGAAGAATTCTGCATGGAGTAGAAAATCTCCTCATTTGTATGGTGTTTGACAGAGAACACTGCGAGACTGTATTGGCGATGGAAAACAAAAAGAATTGATTTTTACGTCTGGAAACGCGGCGGCAGGGAGTCTCCTTAAGGGACTAACACTGACCGCGACAGACATAGCTGCAAGATCAAAGTTGACAGCAGAATTTGTACAATAGTTATTGCTTACTGATCTCTCACGCTCATTGCAATAGCTTGCATTAACAATAGATAGGAAGTCATAAATCGAAACATATTGATTAATCTCCTATTTAACAATATCAACAGCTTTTTATTTTACTTGAAATTTTATGTTTTTCTTTAAAAGATGATCAACCTTATGAAGTTCAAAATTCATCAAATGAAATTCGTCCATCATCATCATCATCACCGATGGCTATATCTAATGGAAATAGTTATACATTAAGAAATGCATTTTCACATAGTCCACTAGCTATATCAGAAAGGTATATATAATGGTTTTTTTGTGACTTTAGATAAATTTTTTGTTGTATTTTAGAAATAAAAATCGACCTTCATCGAAAATAAGCGGTATATTAAAATCTGTAAGTATAATTCGAATTAAACAATTAAATTTTAATAAATTTCGTTATTATTTAGTCTACAGTATCTGATGATTATTTTATCGTTAATCTTCAACGACCAAATACAAATTCAAGTTTTGGTTTTAGTATACGTGGTGGTCGAGAATTTTCAATTCCATTATTTATATTAAAATTAGCTGAAAATGGTCTAGCTGAACGTGATGGCCGAATGAAAGTAAAACTTGATTTTTTTCATATTTGTTTCTTTATTCTTTTTTGTTTTTGTTAGCCTGGAGATCAAATTATTGAAATAAATGGTCGTTCAACCTATGGAATGACTCATAATGAAGCGATCTCATTAATTCGTGATGGTGGTTTATATGTTCGTTTATTATTACGAAAAACAAATGTACCACCACCAAGTCTTGATGGTAAGAGTTCGATTATGACATTCTTTTGGCAATAAATAATATTTATTTTTGTTTTTTATTGTAGAAGTCAAAATAGCAATGGGAAATGGAATGGAATTTATCAATACTAATTGGAAACCAAGTGGTTATACATAAAAATAAAATATCTTATAAATATATTTTTTTCTGGAAATATATTTTTCTTGTATCTTTACGATTATCTCATATTTATAAATATTTGTCTTTTTTGTTTTTTTCTTTTGTTTTTTATGCAATCAAATATAGTTTTTGTTTGTTTGTCCATGAATTTTTGTGCTGTCATAATTGATGGTCTTTTCTTTTTTTTTTTTTTTTGTATATATGGAATGAAATAAAAAAGAAAAAAAACAAAGAAAACGATTAGCATGTTTTTTTTTTGTCAGATGTTTCAATCGAGTTTTAAAATGTTTCTTTTCTTTAAATCAATCTGTTTTATGTATATACATCTATACGTGCTGTGTCCCGCCGTTTGTTTTTTTTGTCTTTGTTATTTCTATGGAGAATGAATATCAGAATTGGTCAAATAAATTCTTTTTTGAATTCGTTTGAATGTTTTAATTGATAAAAATAATTAGATAGATCGAAGAAATTTGAGAGTTATTGACTGTTATGTTAGAGGTTTGCATATTAAGTCTAAATAAAAATTGCTGCATAGCAGATGCTATCAGTTATACAACAAATAATAATTTCATAAAAGTAACGCAGAGACGAGATCGACCTGAAATCCATATCGACACTAGACTAACGAATTTGTATACTATTCCATCTGTGAATAGTGATATTTGACATAGTCAACTTCAACAAAGTACTACTATACATGCTCTATAAGACAATAAGAGCAAAAAAATAGATAAGACACATTGATAATGACCGATCTACCGGTACTGGTTTAGTTTCTGAAATAAAGTATTGACATCGGGAAAAGAATATGGGAATATGTTGAGTAGAATTTCAAATCCAATGTGACAGTTTTGTTCTCATCTTACATAGCATAATCAATAAATGTAATACTTTTTTCCAAATCGAAACATCTTGTTCTGAAATACAATCAATGAAAAAACTCTATGAGAGATCAGATTCTCAAGAGAAGTCTAGACATAGGGCTCTCAATAGTTTTCAGAAGTGAAAGAAGCTAAATATTGGCAGACAATTGAGGATAGTCTGTCTGGTATAAAATGATTGAAAAAAGCTGCTGTCTCCTTTAGCTATCCAGACATATGTGCGACAACAGCTCAACATTTTTGCAGACACGATGTAAAAAGTGTAGGTAGCTAGCCGGCTCTAAGCCCTCCTATATCAGGATCTATGTTTAGAGCAAATAGTGTGATTGTCATCTATGATAATATTATACCAAACCTTTGTATTTCTGTTTCAACGTTGCCAGATCTGATTTTGTTTACATAAAAGCTGTCGACCTGGCTCTAATGTTGAAAAAAAATATGTTGACACATTGCCTTATTATTCAAGAATAGTTTCACAAAGTCATTTGATTCCAGTATTAAATGCTTGAACTGAACGTTAATTTACTATAAGACTGACAGAAGAACTTGTTTAGATCTAAACAAATTGGACAATAAATTTTGCGGTCGCGCTGTTACGAAAATTGATTGACAAGCGTACCTGTCCTTGTCTATTATGACAAAATACCTTTATTCTCCACGTTTTCTTTTATCTCTTCATTGCATGCCTAAAAATATGTTGTTTAGATCGTTATGGTTGAGCGGCTATATTGTTCGGCATACATCCAATAGTCACTATGCTCAAGCTTTGATACTACTAGCCATGGAATGATCCAAGACAAGTTACTAATGACTTTTTATCTCAGATCACTCTTCCGATAGCATGCTGACTAAGTTTTAACATAGATCTGTTCTCGTGATTAGTGTCTGATTTATCAATGAATACGAGAAACTAAGATGAACAACTGAAACTAGAACGATACATTGATGTAAAGTTCTAGAATTAAATGTACCCAAAAAATCAGAAACTGTAATCGATCTACAGGCATTCAGTATCAGAAAAAAGTGACCTATTGGCAACTCTTTACAAAAAAATCTTTATTCAACTTTTCATACATTGTATGATCACATCTTCATGTAGTACAAAAAGAGATAGAAATCAACAGTCGTACCTGTAACTCATTATAGGAAAATATAATTTCATTTGATCAACTTGGTAATGAGAAAAAGGTACATGAAAACCATTTTACGAAACCAATCATCAGAGTACTGTTCTGTAAAGAAATCTTTTTTTCTTTCATTAGATGTACATTTTGATTTTTTTACGGTCAATTAAGCATTTACTAATAATACCTAACGATAGGTTCTCAATTCATATTGGATAATAACAAAAGATTTCGATTCCAATAGGATCATTTCACACTATTAGTTAGTTTTAGAAGAAAAAAAGATTGAAATCATTAAAATATATAACAATTGTTTTTCGCTTGCAGATGCCTACTACTCCATCACCATTACCTTGTCCTGAACGAGCTATTATTGGTTTTTTTCTATATATTGCATCAATTTTTACATTTCGTAAGATTTAATTTATTAAAATCATTTTTCTTTGATTTTCTGTCTAATAGTAATTTATTTGCTTTGGGCATATTTACCAAATAATTGGTTTGATAAAATTGGTATTACATATTATCCTCATAAGTAATAAAAATAAACTCTTGTTAAATCTTCTTTTACATTCTATAATTACTTTCTTTAGATACTGGTCAATTGCAATGGCTGTTGTAGTTGTAACTCTTTTAATTGCAATTGTTCTTGGTAATTGTCTAGTAAACAGTTTATCTGTACCATCATTAGATTGTATGAGATTAATTCATGGTTAGTGATGAAGATCAATAAAAAAAAATATGAAAATGAAAAAAAGCAAATTTTTTTATTTAGATCGCCATACACGAAAGATAATAAATATTAAAAAATCCAATACAGATGCAATCCCACCAGTGTGTGATTTAGATTTAGCATTTGTTAATCGAATACTCTATTCATCTGATATAAAATAAACTATTGACTTTTGTATTTATTTTTGCTATATAATGTTTATAAATAAAAATTATCTTTTTTTCTTTATTTAATCAATATTAAAGTGCATGAATTTTGGACTTAGAAATCTGAAATATTTCGTAATAACAACATATTACTAATATAATCTATTTTTCGTATGACTCATTTACCTTGATAACATTTTCTTTTCAATCAGAAGTATAGCGCTACTATCGATTTCTTAGAGGAATTTTGAAAAACTTTTTTCGAAAAATTTTTTTAACAATGATTTCTTCATTGAATAAGTTAATTATAATTTTTAAAAGGTTTTAAATTGAAAAAAAACTATAAATTATAAACCTAAACACGTGTGTACAAACCTCTACGAAAAGTTTTATTCTTTATCGTAGTATTTATTCTGTCGGAGACAACGCATCGTTCGAGAAGGTCAGAGAACAAGCTCAAGTAGATAGTTAAAATATGGTGGATAGAATGTAATGCCTACGTGTAGAGACAGAGAAGCAAGACAACAACAGATGGTGATGTTAGATTTTTCTCGTCGATTTATGTTTCAGCGGCTGAATTCATTTTTATTTCTTTTGCTTTTCTAAAAAAGGACTTATTTACCATCTGAGAAATAGTTCATCATTGTACCACTACGCTCGCAATTTTTTTCTTGGGTAATTCCAAGTAAAAGTCCCTTTAGTTTATTTTTGTAAACCGACGAAATTTAAACTATTTTTACTTTGTTTCACGATTATATTTCCGTTCTAGATCACATATCTTCCATCTGTTGAAAAATATCACTAAGTGATCTATCACAATGGGAAAAGAAAAAATTCATATTAACATTGTCGTTATTGGTCACGTCGATTCAGGTAAATCAACATCGACTGGTCACTTGATCTACAAATGTGGTGGTATCGATAAACGAACAATCGAAAAATTCGAAAAGGAAGCTGCTGAAGTATGTTTTTGTATTTATTTATAATTTAACAATTATTTTTTTTTCTCCATTCTGTAGATGGGTAAAGGCTCATTCAAATATGCTTGGGTTTTGGATAAATTGAAAGCTGAACGTGAACGTGGTATCACCATTGATATTTCACTTTGGAAATTCGAAACAGCTAAATACTATGTAACCATCATTGATGCTCCTGGTCATCGTGATTTCATCAAGAACATGATTACTGGTACATCACAAGTATGTATTTTTTCTCTTATCTTAATGTCAAAGCAAACCATTTCTTATGTTTAGGCTGATTGTGCTGTATTAGTCGTTGCTGCTGGTACTGGTGAATTTGAAGCTGGTATCTCGAAAAATGGTCAAACACGTGAACATGCTTTACTTGCTTACACCTTGGGTGTCAAACAAATGATTGTTGCTGTTAACAAAATGGATACAACTGAACCACCATATTCAGAAAAACGTTTCGATGAAATCAAAACTGAAGTATCAAATTATATCAAGAAGATTGGTTATGCTGCACAAGGTGTTCCATTCGTACCAATCTCAGGTTGGCATGGTGATAACATGATTGAAGGAACAGACAAAATGCCATGGTATAAAGGTTGGTCAGTCGAACGAAAAGAAGGTAATGCAAGTGGTAAGACACTTTTGGATGCTCTTGACTCTGTTGTTGCACCTCAACGACCAACTGACAAGCCACTTCGATTACCATTACAAGATGTTTACAAAATCGGTGGTATTGGTACAGTACCTGTTGGTCGAGTCGAAACTGGTATTCTCAAACCAAACATGGTTGTTAATTTTGCACCATCAAACTTACAAACTGAAGTTAAATCAATTGAAATGCATCATGAAGCTCTTCAAGGTAAATACTTATAATTCTTTATATAATTATTTTACACGAAATATTTGTTTTTGTAGAAGCCGTACCAGGTGACAATGTCGGTTTCAACGTCAAAAACGTTAGTGTTAAAGAACTTCGACGTGGTTTCGTTGCTTCAGATGTTAAGAATGATCCCGCTCAAGAAGCAGCTAATTTCGTCGCTCAAGTAAACTTTCTATTGTTCTATTTTTGATATTGTTAATATCTATATAAACTTTAGGTCATCGTTCTTAATCACCCCGGTCAAATTGGTGCTGGTTATGCT